CACACACACACACACACACACACACACACACACACACACACACACACTGCTCCTGGACAGCCGCAGGACCGCTGCAGGAGAAACATCCCGTGCTTCCAGTGTCTTTAAGCCAAGAAATCCAATAGACCAGATGGAATATATCAGCATTCAGGGAGGGCCAATTTAAACACGTGTAAGCACAGGGGGCCCAGCACTCAAACTTTTAACACTTCTAAATGGTTACTGTATACATAAGAAGGCTGCTCATTTCTGCAGGGGGAACTGGAGGTGGGGGACTGGTAATTGCACAACCCCAGGGGGAAGTACTGGTGTCCAAACCTCAGAAGTCAGGCTGAAAATGGCAGCAGCAGCTCCAGCCAGAGGGAACGTGACTGAATGGAGGGGAAAAAAAAACAAAACAGCTCTACTTTTTCATCTTGATACCTCATGCAAGCAGCAATCACTGCAAAGAAACACCTTCTGGGAGCCTAGGGATTGGAGATGCCCAAAGATGATCTTATTTCAGCAGCTGGCTTATATTTTGAAAATACTTCTTTAACCCAAAGTTGCAACAGTGCCTTCAGCACCTGGCATAGGAGCTGAGGAGCTCCTTCAGTGCATTAGAGCTGCTGCAGTGCCCCAGCCCTGCTCCCAGCTGCAGCTGGGGAGAAGCAGCTCAGCTGCTGCTTCCTTCAACTGTTTATAAGGATAGGCAGCGACAGGACAAGGGGGAATGGTTTTAAGCTCAGGGAGAGAAGGTTTAGATTGGGTGTCAGGGGAAGTTCTTCACAGAGAGTGGTGGGGTGCTGGAACACGCTGCCCAGAGAGGGGGGTGCTCTGTCCCTGGAGGTATTCAAGACCAGGCAGGATGGGGCCCTGGGACACCTGGTGTAGAACTGGATCTGGAGGTTGGTGGCCCTGCATGTGGTAAGGAGGTTGAAACTCGATGATCTTGGGGATCCCTTCCAACCCAAACCATTCTATGATCAGCTCTGACAGCACTGCTGAGCGCTCCTCCTGCTGCCCTCATAGGGTGTGAACTGAAACACGTCCTGTGTCTAAAAACAGCTGGCAAAGGAAGTCCTTTCTGTGTGTGTGGGTGACCAGGTCACAGCTCTGAAAGCAGCCACCTGAATTTTGTTAATCTGGTAACCTGCATCAGAAGCAAGGTCTAGGACTGGCTGCTAACATCTAGTTGCCACATCAGTATCCTTGTAGACTGGCTTTCAAATGCTTAGTTTAAGTTTTGTACCTCCTGTTTTGTAACATGCTCACAGCTGTGCCGAAGTAGCAAACACCTGGCTGGCTTCTGGCAGTTGGTGTAAGCAAGGCAGAGTGCTCATGCAGCACCACTGCTACACAAACAGGCAGCAAACATGGCTCTCCTCTTATCTAGAATTGCTCAGGTCTTGTGGTGATGAGTAAGTCTGTCTGCCAGCAGCGATAATAAAGTATTGGTTTTTAAGAACCAGTTTTGCTATACAACTGAAAAAGGTTTTGATACATCAATCACTGTATTTTATAAACAGACTTCAAGTCTTTCAGTGTTACTGCTGTTTGATAGCAAGTGCAAAATACATCAAAAGTAGTGAACATCATTACCCAAGAAAATGCCCCTGTAACTCTGGCTGATGCTGTGAGACAAAATGCTCACACAGTGACTGCAAGCTGAGTCAGGGGAGGTATTTGCAGTAGCAGGAGCCATAATAGCACATACATTTGTTACTGGGAATGAGCTTCAGGCAATGAGATTGCAGGGGGAGGCTCTCTTTAATGTGAAACTACAGCCCTGCACACAAGCAGCTCAAGTCTAGCTGTGTAATGCTGTGGGAAATGTGGCAGTTGGCAACTGCTATTGATGCTGTCCCTGCATTTTGAGATGGAAGTAGTTTATGATTCTAATGGCTGTATTTCTCTTTAAATTGTAAGTTTGATCAAGAAAACCTTCTAGATAAGAAAGGTGTGCTGATATATGTACAGCATTACAACAGGAGCTGTGGTATATATGGGCAGTTCATAGAAACCAGTGAGAAGCCCTGTGCAGGCAAATGGGGACATCTTGAATTGCTTATGAACCAATTCTTTTGCCTTCAAACTGTTAGTGATTTTTCAGTGTGCTTTACAGCAAATCCTGGGCATTAACTCAGAGCTTAATTTCAGACTTTGAAATATTTTGTTCTTAACTTCGTCTTCTCCACGTTCATCACACTT